CTCTTCTTGTAATCTATATATGGTCCGTAATACCTCAAAACCATAGACGTGAAAGTTAGTCGTGAAAGCGAAGACAATGAACGAGACGACGAAAGCTTATACGCGGTGAGGGTTCATTTTGAACAAGCTATGGGTGGCGTTGGCGACGATGTTGGCACAGGGGTCAATGATACACGCAAGCGAGATAATTTAAACAATAAACAGCGCTTTATGCCTACGGCTTACACTGTATAAATTCTATTAACAACGGTCATATTAGAAAGCCTCCGTAAAACAGATCCTTCATACAGATCTAATGCACGTATTAAGACGAAACTTACAGCGTTGTTTACGGTACGAGTTGTTTGTGACATCAACAAGCTTTATAGTTTGCTATAAAACTGCTTACAGTTTTTTTTAAGTCCAGGTACTGGACAATTCATATCGATGTAGTTTGGATTACGACGTGAGAATGTCTGATCATTATAGTCGTGGGCAAAGAACGCGTCAGAGTACGTAAAGATATGTTCATAAAAATTGTGCATTTAACTTTGGAAGTTCTAAGGGCCCTACAAAATCATATAAACGTGAACCTCCTACAGATGAGCGAAATGATTTCTACTTATCAAGTCCAAATCTCAACATTTGTTATCCATACTACTATTATCATACTTGCTTTTTCTTTTCTTTATCCTAAAATTATTAAATACTGTCAGTTCCTAAAATATTTTGGATTATTTATCTTATTAAATAACGTGAAATAAAGCCCTTTTGAATTCTGTCTTTTTATAATGTATAAAGCAGGCAGACTGTAGGCTAAGATAGTTCGGCGTTGAATGTACATAAAATTTCAAATTCATGTGTTCTCACTTAAGGAACTTACAAATACACCGCGGGCGTCGAACCTGTAACTTGTGATCCCGAAGCTAGTAACTTAGTAAACAAAGTGCCTACCGCGACATCGTGAAAGCGAAATCGTTACGCACACCATATTCACCACCGCACCGAGACGCTGACATTTCCCCGACGATGGAATGTGTCCAGTTTCACTAGACCGACAGATAGATACCTTATCCTCATCCTTTACGGAGACAACCTCTCGCATATTTTAAACCTGAGGGGTAGACTGAGACAGTCTTTTCTATACACGACGACGTATAATCTCTATTGGCCTATTGCTACGTTACTATCTCCGGTGGTTTGGGGTTGTGCTTTAACAATGGCAGTCAAGTGCTAGCCAGTTCGAAATAAAAAAAAAACAATTGTTCCTACGCCATTTCTGTCCCATTTCTTGCAGAGACTAGCATGCCCACACCTGATAAGCAACGATGGTCACGCAAAACAAAATGGATAAGCTTCTTAAAAAAATATTCCAATTGTTGAAACACGCACGAAATCACCAAAAATACATTATAGTATCGTCACTAGAAGAGGCAGTGTTTGGCTTGATTACCAAACCAAATGAATTCGTCCTCCCAAACATGAAGACTTAGGAAGATTCCTTCCAGATCACAGCTTTACAAAATAATAAAAAGAAATTGCAATCACAGATTATCTTCTGTTTGACAAAGAGGTGGCAGTTTAATTTTCAAACTTCGCTCTAAAGATAAGTGCGAACGCACTTTGTTACATGCTGGTGATATTAAGATTTATATCAAGTAATGCAAAACGTACGAACAGTCGGACGTAGCAGTGGCTGGGAGCTCGGACTAAGATACATACAGTCTGAGGAGAAATAAACTCGAAACTCAGGCTACCAAGGACTCTATCGTTCGTGGCATTTCTACAAAAACTCACATTTTATCTTCACTCTCTCGCAATAGGTCACGGCGTACGTCTGCAGCTGTATTGCAGCTGCACCAGTCACATTAAGGACTCAGTAAGCTCAGTTCCGTTAGAATTCGTTGAACTGGACAGCATCACCTGTGTACTTCTAGCCAGTTCAAGTTACGGCGCGGGAATTTGAAGAACTAAATGCAAACCATGTGAATACGCGTACCCGTATGCAGATTTTCTGTGCGACCGGAACTCGCATGCGATATAAAGGCTCTTCCCGCAATTGTTCCCCGAGTTGGTTCAATGCGAGAGTCCACGTAACGCAATCAGTATTTTGTAATTCGTGACGTGTGACGAGTGTTTAATAAAACACTATGTATACTTGTTGAGCTGATTGATTGAGAGCCGTGATAACTCAATGCCTACGCACACGCTTTTAATTCAATATATTCGAGCAACCTGAGTTCAAATGCCGGTGCCGGCACCAATGAAATTGTTAATTTTAAAATGCTGACTTATCACGTGCTCAGCACTACTTTTTCCCATATAAACAAAATATGTGAACTCCGCCGATCCCAGTGAATGCAAATAAAACAGGTTGCATTCACTCTCCGATCCGCATGATAGAATCGCATGGCCCTCTGTATAGAGGAGGGTTTTGTCCAGCAGTGGGACACATATAGGTCGTCACTTTACTCATTGGAATATGCTGCAGTCACTCCCCTGACATGTAATAAGGCTAACTAACAATCTTGAACCTAGCGCAGACGGCGTTCTTATCCTTACTAATATTATAAAGGCGAAAGTTTGTATGTATGGATGTTTGTTACTCTTTCACGCAAATACTACTGAATGGATTTTAATGAAACTTTACAATAATACAACAGAATAAAACATAGGCTATAATTTATATACACATTTTTATGTCTTTTTACGCCTTCAGCCTATTCTACGCAGACGTAGTCGCGGGCAGCAGCAAGTATAAAATATACCAACGTTGGCAAGAAATTCGTCATAATAATCAATTGAACAACGAGATCAAATGAGGGTTTATACGTTGCACAAATAATAACTGTAAGTATATTCAATTCACGTGCAATATGATTTATCAAGTGTCCCATTCAATTACTACAAGGTTTATCAAGGAATACACTAATAGAGAAAGTGATTTGCCTGATCCTGCATCATCGCTGCTTTATACTACCGAAAAGCAATAAAAATACAGACATCTATGACAAGTTGGTAACCTTCACTTCACGACGAAGATTTTAATTTTATTCATAGTCCGGATCGAAATATGCTCGGTTCCACTACAAACACTAAGATGTGCGGGCGCGAACGCACGTCCCTCATTCAAATCTCAGCGTGAAATAAATAAGTTCGGCGATTCCGATCACCGGTTCCCATGAAAACTTAAGATAAGCCTCTATCGTAAAGAACCGTACCGTAATAATATCCAAACTAATGTATAATTCGGATATTTATGAAGTTGAATAAAGTTCACCTTCAAATGTGTTGTTAATTTGTTTTTGTACTACCATCAGTGTCGCAGATTTTTATAATATCGTTTATTCTACAGATGGATCCAACAAATTCAATCACGATCGTGTTATTTACGTAATCACTATGGTGGAAATATTACATTTTCTCACTCTTTTCTCTTGACTTGAAACAGAAACTAATATTTATATTACATTATTTTTACATAACTTTCTTATCCAAATGAAAACCGAGAAAGATTTTAAAGGACTGTGTGAAGAATGTTATGTATATTAGTGAGTATTGCGACGATGGCTGACGTAGGAAAGTAGAAGGAAATGAAACGTTGCATGGACTGGACATTTCTTTGAGGAGGTTTGGTTTATAGTTATGATTCAGCGTAAAACGCCCATACAGTTTACATTAAAGCAAAACAGCAAAGCGTCTGGTAAAACTATGTTAAATGCTAACTTAATAGAATTTTAAAAGAACTTTCCAATGACAAAACTCATAATGACCACGTATAAAGGTCTAGGGGCAAACCACAAAGGCCTACAACAAAAGTTTGAAAGAAAATTCAAAGCCCTAATCTGCCCTTGCACTGGAAAGAAACGAAACCGCACGATTCCGGAGTCCCCAAAACTTTCTAATGCGAAAACATCGATGCCATCGAGTCGGTCCGTCTTCGATCCAGGCGTTCGTGATAATGCTACGATTTGAGACTGACAATTGATAGAAATGGCTCGATTTGAGAATAGACCCCTGCGGTCGCGGAGATATGGCACCGGCATCGGTGAGTTGGGACGTTTTCTCCATTTGAACTTTCACCTCGCAGACCTTTCTCTGCACTGCTCTATGGAACGAGGGCCGGTAGTGGTCTGAACATTATTTCTTGATTATTATTTTGCATCCTCAATTTATCTATACACTGACCTAATTTTACGTGAGACGATGGCTAGCGGGTCAGCGGTTTACCTATCATAAGACCTGATCTGACGAAAAGAATAAAAATAACAATCCATACTTGATATAATATTATAAATGCGAAAGTAACTCTGTCTGTCTGTCGCGCTTTCACGCCAAAACTACTGAACCGATTTAAATTAATTTTGGTACAGATAGTCTAAAGCTTTAAAAAGGACATAGGCTATTTTTTTAAGGAAAAGAGTGTTGTAAAGGGTTGAAAACATCTTGATATTTATTTAAGGGCTTCAACGCGAGCGAAGACGCGGGCGAAAAGCTAGAATATATTTCCACTTCCAGCTGGTCTTCTGTGAGGGTTTCACGGTCTTATGCTGCTACACAGACATTCACTTTTTTTTTTGTTTTTGTTGTTATGTTTACATTTGTTTTAAGTTTTTCCAATATTATTTTATATACTGTGTAGTTAAATTCTATTTATGTTTTGTATGTGTCCATTGTGCTTAGACCGTGAATAAACGTTTCTTCTTTCTTTCTTTCTAACAGAACAAGCTTCTGCGTAAACACTACCACGGTACCCTTTACCAAGGTTCCAAGCTAAATGTGCACTGAAGAAGTAATTTCTTTAATTTTGGACACATAATAGGACGAAATTAGAAAAGATGATTTATTTATTACGCCCCGGAATAATTCAATTTAATTCTAAGGTGAGACTTATTCTTTCTTGTCTGTTTATTATGAAACAATCAAATTCAAAACGACAATAACAAAATGGTGGAAACGACACCCCGGCAGTAGAACACGACCATATTTGTTATAAAATACGATAAAAAAATGTTTGTCACCTGGGACGTCACACGCTGTCATCTCGGTAATGAGGCCTTCAAGGTCAGGCGAGATGAGCCTCTCCTCATCTTCAGCATGCGTGTAGTCCAGCGCGTGATAGATAACCAACGCCAAGTTCACCACCACCTGAAATAAAAAAAAATGTTTAATTGAGATATATCCTATTAGAGGAAGAAACCATACCATATACGAGTAATATATACCATATTAAGAATTTTCGACAAACTTCACAAAACGAGACGTTTCTTATTCGGTAGTATTTGTTTCGTATTATGTTTAGTTTGTTTAGTATTTTAGTGTTTCCAATTAAATTTCATTGCTATTCGAGTCCAGAGATATATTTGGGAACTCCTCAAAATCGAATAGTAAATGTATATTGAGTGAGATATTTAAGAAAAAAAAGGCCTTTTAATAAAATTTTGTCCTGTCTGCAATAGAAATATTCATCCGAAGTTTTTCAATCGTATTTGCTGAAACCAAATTAATGTATCCATAATCCATAAAAAACAGGCCCAATCATATCTATTAGAAAGACTTTACGTTCCGTGTTACTCATTTTAAATGATGGTAAATAAAAATATGTTACATAACTATGTTTTATATTGTTTTTCACTTAAAAAAACATTAAAACGCTATTTAGCTTCAATTCGGCAACCGTTATTAGATTCACTCTTGCTTAACACACAAAATATCTCTCTCTTGTGTGGTGTAAATTAAAGACTATCAGGGATTTTTATTTATTTCTTCATCAATTTTTAGTTTGGCAGAAATAGTTATTGGCATAAAATAAGAACTAACCAATGTACCAAACTCTAAATGGTTGACAACATGAACATTACTGATGTTGTGGTTTATAGGTCTCGTAGAGAATTATCCGCTACGAGAATCCGGTGAACTACTAGATAAGTAGCGAAATTAAAATAAGAAAATCGAAGATTATCGTGTGTGCTCTTGATATGCTAAGAAATAGAAGAGTGACACCATTGCATCGCTGATCGATTATCTTTCTCCGCAATCGATTTGTTGAAATTGCATTTCGTCAACCATTTTAAAAGCCAAGAACAACTTATGGGTAACATGAAGTCTTTAAATAATTAGCTTTAAAGTAAGAGATAACGTACGACTTACTCAAGAAAATCGTAAGGCACACGATAAAGACGTTAGGATCTGAAGCATCACGAGGTCGGTAGTAACTATTTCTACCAAAATTGTAATATTGGCTGAGATTACAGCGCAGTTTTCAAATTTAATGTTTCTAATTCACTAAGAGAGTGCTAAAGCATTTTACTTATCAATACAACAGAGTTGGTGAATTGATTTATAAAAATAGTATTTTTTAATAAAGGAGGATGCTTTTATGCTTGTTTTTATGCTTTTTTGCTTTTGATGCAGGATATTTCAAAACATTATATAATTAGAAGTAAAGTTTCAATAATTGAGTCAATGGGAGAAGCGCCTTTACCACATTACTTTTCAAACTGTTTTATTGTTTGTTTTTATATTCTTTATTGTACTAAAATTTTGTACAAAGGCGAACTTAATGCTAAATAGCATTTTCTTCCAGTTAACCTTTTGTGGTTGAGAGCAAATTACGGGTAGTAACGCTAAAATGACATACAAGATTTTAAGTGTCTATCATAAAGAATATGGCAAAACTAAATATACTTCATCATAAATATAAATAATTACAATTTTATATACACATACCTGCATGTATATATTATATACTGTACACGTGACGTTCCCAACAAGGGGCAACTAACGCTTCGATATGCAATTGCATGTTATTAAAATCTGGAATGTTTAATATAAGTAGGTATTTCTACTTTGACCGCGCCAAAGACGCAGCCCGCGTGACTATCAGACGCGGTGGACGGAACGGCCGCCAACCATTGTGCCAGTGGTTGCCAAACCGATCTATATGGTGCACCACACACGTGCAGCGCTGAGGCGCTGCACACTACTTTCAAAGCTGCTTACGAAACGAGGTTGATTGGACACAGCTTACAGGTGAAGCTTACACTCACCGCTCGATACAAGTTTATTTCGAAAAATGCGATAAAAAGAGAATAAGTTATAGGAGTAGCCTCTTTGCTTTTGGCCTCTAAAATAACGAGTGCAATATCCATTGGCATCTCCCGATTAATTTGTATCCTACTGTTTTTTTTTTTTTTGAAGAATCACATCTGAGTTTACCACGTCACTTTTTTAACAGTCAATGAGTTCGGTTAAAAGTGCAATGGCATTTTCCATTTCACAGGTTTTGAAGACCTACTTTCGACTATAAAATATACTTACGTCTTTATACAAAATTTTCTACTCTATAATTAATATATTTGGGTAGTGAAAACATTTGCTAACACCGAGATAAAGACAAGGGCAAAAAAACGATAGTTATCTTTAGCTTTCTTTAACGTGAACGTGTTACTACGAATGTACTTTCAGGATCGAAGGCCGATACAAAGCCGAAACGATCCCAAGACTCGTTAGAGCCGCCGACCGAAATAGCCGGCGAACGCTTCGGACGGCATTGTATGCAAATCACGTGCGATATTGGGTTGCAGCGTGTTGCGTAATGGCGAACAACCGACCCCACAAACAATAACATCCGATTTATCAGGCACCCATACACTAGTGTGGCGCCCATAGTAATCTATGCCAATTCGGCCTCCGATTGAACTGTTAATACGCTTTCGCTGACATCTTTTGTGAGTTAGATATTTAACGTAACCAGCCAAATAAGGCTCGGGTGAATCTGTTCATGTAAATAATATAAATAACCTTTTTTAATTACAAGGTTGCAAACGAGGGACTCAACTTATAGTGGTGGATTACAGCCCTCTTTAGACATTAGCAAAATTAAATGATTTCCAAATGGTCCTTTGAATAAGCAATTAGCTTTTTTGTCAGCCCGGAAATGACGACCCCATTAGCATAGTGGTTGTGACCTCTTAAGTCTCTTCGCCAGAGAGTGTGGGTTCTATAGTCGCTATCGGATCAATACTGGGTAATGAACATAGTGGTTGTCCAGTGTCTAAATTTATGTATCTATAATATATTTATGTTCAGCAGTAGATTCTAACAGGATGAAATTATGCTGATAATAAATATGTATTTATTTATTTAAATAAAGTTTGTTTTATTTGTTTGTTTTTTGTTGCGATTATTTAGTTTTGTAGGCCTAGGTATTGGTTTTCTAAATCCTGAAAGTCCAATTTGAATTCCATTTCGATGGAATGAGATTTCCTTTTCGATTTTATTAAAAAACTGATTCGATTATATCTACCTGTTTGGTTTGTCTTACTTTGAATAAATTACGTGACGCAATTAATTGTAGCCCTGACAAAAATAGTTATAATAATTATTTAATTTAATTGATTAATAAAGAGTTTTAATTGTAAATTCAAGAAAACTTAGTACAGAGTCTTGTTTCACAATTCTTTCTTTGCTAAATTGAATCATTCGTCTTTTTAACCGACTTCAAAAAAGAAGGTTTCTCAATTCGACAGTATATATTTTTATTAATGTGTGTTCGCAGATAACTTCATCGTTTATAAACCGATTTTGTTGATTCTTTTTTTATTGGCGAGGAGATATCCCATGGGTGGTACCATGATAAGGAAACCCGAAAAATCTGATGCTGACATCCCAAATAAATAGAGGGCAATCCTTAACGCCTGGGAAAGGTCACAAGATGCAATAGGTGTCTTTTGTGACCTTTCAAAAGCCTTCGACTGCGTAGACCATAAAACTCTCCTTCAAAAGCTAGAATATTATGGCATTCGTGGCATCGCCCTCAATCTCATTGCCTCTTACCTTAGTAATAGAATTCAAAAAGTATCTATAAATGATGTTAATTCCGCTGGGTCCCAGATGAAAATGGGAGTCCCACAAGGATCAATCTTGGGCCCATTATTATTTTTAGTATATATTAATGATCTCCCCTTTTATGCCAGTGGGTTGTGTGATGTTGTACTGTTTGCTGACGATACATCGCTTATTTTTAAAGTTGACCGAAACGTATTAAATTATGACGACGTGAATAGTGCACTTTCACATATCCTCCACTGGTTTACTATTAATAATATGGTATTAAATGCCAAAAAAACCAGATGTATTCTTTTTACCCTTCCCAGTATAAGAAGGAAAAGTTTTAGTTTAATATTAAATAACGTACCCATTAATCCAGTTGAGTTGCTATATTTCTGGGAATTACAGTAGATTCAAAGCTCCAGTGGAGTCCCCATATATCATCTCTTGCGAATAGGCTGAGCTCCGCGGTTTTTGCGATTAGAAGGGTTAGGCAGCTAACAGACATCGACACTGCCAGACTTGTTTACTTTAGTTATTTTCACAGCATCTTGTCTTACGGCATTTTGTTGTGGGGTAGTGCATCAGATATAAATTCTATATTTATTCTTCAAAAAAGAGCTGTCCGAGCAATCTACAATATCGGAGCCCGGAATTCACTCAGAGATCTTTTCAAAGAGGTTAATATACTCACTGTTGCTTGTCGATACATTTATTGTAATGTTTTGTATATACGTCATAACCTTAATTATTACCTAAAGAATAGTGACAGACATAAAATAAACACTAGAAATAAGGACAAACTTACTACGCCATTGTTTAGTCTACAAAAAGTAAATAAGTCGTTCATGGGGCAAAGTGTGCGCATGTATAATAAAATCCCACAGTCGATATTAAGTCTGCCGCTTGACCAATTTAAATGTAAAATTAAAAATCAACTGATGATTAAAGCATATTATACCATTTCGGAATATCTCGACGACGCCAATGTGTGGAGTTAATACTGTTGATACTCACGTAGGCTAGAATAAGACTATTATACCTGTATATTATATTGTACCCTGATATTTTTGAAAAAGAGCAACTGTTGAGTTTCTTGCCGGTCTCTTCTCCACAGAAACCGCTTTCCGAACCGGTGGTACCTTACGAACCTATACACATAATCTTTGATGTAAAATTTGACGATTCATAAGAGCGCGCAAGCGTCTATTTGAATAAATATTTTTTGATTTTGATTTTTGATTTAAGTGTTATAGATATTAACAATGTTTTTAGTTTCCTTTTTGAAGTCGGTTTTTTTGTTATATTTTTTTATATCCGTACATCGCAAGAGAGCAGATGGTGCACCAAATGTTAAGTGAATACCGCCGCGCATGGACAATTGTCACTTCTATGATGTTACGGATGCGTTAGCAATCTTTAAGAGTGGGCCCCGGTAAGCACCGGACGAAATGCAGAAATATGATACTTCCATTACACACCTGTCTTTGCTAAGGCTGCGGTACTTCCCCTTACGATCCTGCCCATTTTTGCAACACCAGAAGCTGCTCCATAGCCCCAAAACAATTTGGCAGTTGTTAGTATTTCACTATAATAATTTAAACCATACCTATAAAATATATTAGTATGCGTATTTGTAAAGTTTTGATGTGAAAATTAATCATTCCCCTAGACACAATAAAAACTGAAAAGGAAAGAAGGGAAAGAAAACATAAGAATTCACTTTATCAAAGAAAAACCTTAACTGTAGGTAGCGGCGAGATGAAAGGAAAACCTCCAGGACGTGAAGGTACACAAATAACTTAGCGTCATCTAAGTAAGAGCCGGCGCAGGTCCTTAAGTTACTTCTTACAGCACTTAGGATGATAGATGCGACGCTGATGTTCGTAAAAACACCGATGTTTAAGGCTACTTATAACTTCTGCAGAAGGTAGCTTTTCACAGAAAAACATCCACGCAATTTTCGATCTTATTGGAAAGTAATTTTGGTTCAAATCACCGCGGTCGTCGCTGAATACGGAGAAAGATCTCGACATCAATTTAAATCTTATACGTACGAAGTTAAAGTTCACTATTCCATGTCAATGTCAAGGCCGCGAAGCGCGTAACCAAACGCACGCAACGCACGTACGTGAGACGAATGGCCGTGGGAAGAAAATTATGTTCCGCAATTGGATTTGACGTTATCAGGAAAATGTGAAACGTTTACGGAATTTGCGAAGTTAAGATGCGTGAATTATTAACGATTATCGCTTGACAGCAAATAATCATTCACACAGTTATTTCAAAAGACCTTTATTTCTTCATTACCATCATAATTTCAGCCTATTAGATTCTACCGCTGAACGACAGCCCACTTTCAGCACATTTGCACGTGAGCTTTATATAATGGTATAATAACGTGATCAGCGTTTTAGGAACTCTAAATATTTTCGAAATAATATTAAAAAAATACACATTTCGAAGATCTGAAGTCAGCCAATCCGCAGTGGGGTCCAGGGGTGGATGTTATGAGCTCCTTTCACAGCAGTGAGAGATATAAAGGCCGTCACTTAACTTTTATTTTACTTGAGTGTTATTTAATAAATTCATAACTACAAATAATACAAATATCTCTTACGCTTTAGGTTCTTTACTCTACAGTCTCCTAAATGTGTCAAACGAATAACTTGTATCCTGCTAATGAAACATAATTTTGGATTAAAGAAAACTCTTTGGCGTAGAAATTTCATTCAGTTTTAATAATGGTAAGCAAAATAACAAATTCATCATCATCAGCATTTCTGCCTGTTTGAGTCCACTGCCGTACATAGGCGTCCCCCACAGACTGCCACGAAGCACTAAAACTTTCAAAATTCTTTATTTATTTTACGTTAAAGAAATAATATTGGACAAAACTTATG